CTCAGTTATATATCTTTTATTAGATATATTGGAAAATTGGAAAAACAAGTTAATTATTAGTAAGAAAAACAGTTTGTTGGGTAGATGGAATCTTTCAAAAAACATGGGAGTCCTTGGTGATGAAAAGGTTGGGACACGCTGATATATATTGTTATTCTATTTTGTACTGATCAAAACTTTCATAAAACTTTGTTTGAAGTTATCATTATTATGTTCGGTTTAATGTGTGGATTTTCCATCTATCTCATGATATCTAGGCCTTTTGAATTTCCTAGATTTGAATGGTTGTGTCTGTTTCAACTGTGACGATTAACGATGGAAATTCTGAATTTGATTTTTATAAATTTGATAATTTTACTTGAGACAGCCATGTTAGTTTTATTGTTGTAAGCACCTAAACTAGAAATTAATATTACAAAATGTGTGTGTGTGTGTGTGTGTGTTATCGGCATTATTTTTGTGGGGGTTAAAATTTTTGAGTTCATAGTTAGATAATTTACCAATGATTTTGGTCAAGGATCAGAGTCAACATTACATGTAAAATGAGGGCATGGATAAGTGTACAGTAGACTGTGATGTTTTGAGTAAGAATCTGTTTCATGGTGTTAATTGCCCATAGGACAAAACAGGGGTTTAAGTTGGTCCTCCGAGAAAGCTTTTAGTCTTCTCAGATGACTGTAAAAAATTGAGTCCTAAATGCTTTATTTCTCAGTCACATCTACATTCCAGAATTTAGCTCTTCCATGACCTTCCTACACTGAACTAATGATTATCTGTACTAACAAATTGAAACTGTTTCCAAAATTAACTTTATTTAATAATTAGATCACAAGTCAAATGACAATTTCAGTTTCTAATTTTTTTGAAACTAAAAGATCAAACATGACAGAAGGTAAAAACTGCTTAATTTATTCATGAAACAAGTTATTAATGAAAATTAAAAATAAATAAAAAACTCAGAGCAGAGATAAATTTTTAACATTAAACAAGATATCATGATATAAAAGCTACAGTTCTGCTTTTACTAGTCTCATTGTCATAGATTGAAGTTGTACTCATAAGAAAATGTTTTTAACACTTTCCAGCCTGATATATCATGTTCTTTTATGAGGATAAGTTACATCAGTATGTTAAAAAAACAAAATTGTCTGACAACTCTCTAAGATCACCCATAAAATAAAAATGTAACTAAAATGTTCAGATTTAGTTTTGTTGAGATATCAAAGTTATCAATATGTCTTTTAAAGAACAAAAATTTCTATTTAGGGAGTATAAATATTTAAACTTTCTGTTTGCTCAGATTAAAAACTTGTCACCATATAAAATACAGCAGTAAAGCTGAGGTCTTCTCTACATATTGCTTATTTCTACCTCAAATAGCTTGTAAACTGCGACATTTGGGAGTTTCGGAATCAACCATAAATTTCCCAATTTTTTAGTTGTTACATCAAGTCTTTCTTCATCACATTGCCTTTAAATAAACTAGCTATATTGTGATTTCCATGTTAAGAATAACAATTTTTTCTTTATCTCACAAATATCAAATTACATTTGTGTAATCTCTGAAACCTCCTAAATACATTTCAAATGTTTGTTTTCATTAAAACTATATTTTATCTGTTATTTTCTCTACCCTAACTCTATAAAAGGTTGGTCAATTTGACCGACCTTGTAACCACAAAAAAAATAAAAAAAATTACATAAATCTAAATTACCCTTTTTTTCTTTCTATAATGACTTCAAATTGTAACATGAAAGTATATTTGTTTATCCTAAGTAGCTTTAAACTTGTAACAGTATACATTTATACTTAAATTTTATTGCTTTAATGCCTTCTGAACCCATGTCTAACTACGATTTATGCCATTATGAGTTGTAAAATC